GTGGGCGGGAATTAAACCGCTGGTATCAGCCAACATCTGAAGTGAAGGGTGGTTCTGCTGCGTACAACAAGAAACACAAAACCCAGGAAGTTGTACCGACCGGGACGTACTGTTCCAGGCGGCCCTCTGGGAATATGCCATACAGTCGGGGTCCCAGGGCCCGTTCTGCCAGGATGGCGAACATGACGCTCTCAAGCACAAGAGAGTCCACACCCTGGAAAATTAATTCAGGTCACATGACATGGTCCTGCCAATCGAATCGCAGTCACAGAATAAACTGCAGTATCTGTTAGACATTCTAGTTATGCTGATTATCAAACCTGAATTCATCAAAAATGTGCTTAATTTCACCAAAATGTCCCATTTTTTCCTATTTTTATATATGAAATCGGTTCAGGCATTTCCATTAGGAGAAAAACAGAAAACTAAAAACCTTGTGTGAACAGTTTTCATTTATTGCTGCATTTATTTGTAATGCCAGCTAATTATTCTTCGCAAATGGCAGCCATGGAAAGCGCAGAGGCACCTGCAGGATGGCGCCGTAAACCCGCAGCAGCACCTGCCCCGGCTCCCCATCGGTGGTGGCCACGCCGTCCGGGAGGCTGCACAGGTACAGCAGGTTACTGAGGCCACCGCTGGGAATAAACACAGACGGCATCGATCGCAGTCAGAATTCGCCCTGGGATCGATAAAGTTAATCTTAATCTTCAGGCTGCTGGAGAAGAAGCCGCTCCGCACGGCACGGAGCACCAGGCATAGTGTCGTAAACTGGGCTTTTTAATTGCACTAATAAGCATTTTCAAGATGTTCAGCCATTCGTTTGGACTGTGTTTATCTGGGTCTAGGTGACAAACGGAATCTATGACCTGTGTCTAAGTTACATGTGCGTCACTCAATAGGTGGTGAAACTAAAACCGGTGATTCCACATCAACCTGATTAAACATAGTAGGGACAAAGGTCAATAAGCTCTCTGCCATGTCTATGGCAGATATTAGCAGACATTTAACATTTTACATTTTTAAACTTTAAAACAGTTTAAGGAGGAGAGAGCCATAAAGACAAAGGCTCAGGAAACATGCTAAAGTGAAAATCAATAATGAACTACACTGAAAATCCTTCCATTTATATATCAGGACATATATGTGTGTGTGTGTGTGTGTGTGTGTGTGTATATATATATATATATATATATACACACACACACAGAAACACACACTATAGATGAGATAGATAAGGCAGACAGATGAGATGGACAGGAGAGAGATGTATACATACATACATACATACATACATACATACATACATACGGTATTACCTGACAATACTAATCTGAAAATCCGCCTCTGAGATAGACTTCCATGATCCGGAGAGAAAGTCCCGGCACCAGGCGTACGCTCTGCTCTTCGTATCACGGTCCACTTCGTCGGTTCGCCCGTCCCGGTAAGATTCGGCCTCAGAGTCGTCATCCCCGTTGCCGGCCCGAAGACTCGGCGCCTTCAGGTGACACTTCCCAGTTGCAGCGGGCTTCGGCGCAGCGCCTCCGGGAAGGCTCAGGCCGCCGTCGGCGCTCCCCGTAACACTCTGTCTTGACTGCATTCTTCCGAGCAATATAACTAAATGACAGCCAAATTAAGGCTTTTTACGCGATTAGCAATAAATCCGACTTGGACGTCCAGCTTAACGACTGTATTATTCAGCATTAAAAATGCATCTCATACAGCACTGCGGGTCTTTGCATTAGTGCTCTACATACGGTTCTAGGATTAATTGATTAAATACCTAGTAATTATAATATCAGATGTGGACACACATCTGGCAGCTACGTTGTCAGTCTGTTTGCGGGACTACAGTACTGACTGATCAGCAAGAGAGATGCCCTTTCCCGTAAAACACGAGTTCAATCCCGGACAGCGCAGGCTGGGGACTGAGGGACAGAACTGTGCAAACAGGGGTCATAACTGTGTAGATGCGAAAGCCGCCGAACGCTCACTTCCCGGGCGGAGTAAGTACACCTACAGGATCAGCAATTTATTACCTGCGCCGCAACTCCCCGTTAAACGGAAAAGAAAGCCGATTCCAAACAATACGCCACCTAGCCACTCAAATCCATGAAACGGCACACTATTCACTAGTTCCAGGAAACTGCCCTAGTTTTATCTCAGTCATACACCACGCACCAATACAATACCGATAAAGAAGTGTGCTTCCATCTGGGTTTAAGGCTGAAGGACGGTAATAGACGGCATAACTCCGCATCGGCATTACACGAGACTATGGGTCATGTATTTTTTAATTCTAATTCAACAAATATCATCGTAGAAATATAGAGAGCATAAGATTCGGTAAAGCATACAACGGAACTCAATATACCAAATTCCATAAAATTAAATTAAATTTAATTAAAAAAGAATTTTTCGTTTTTTAACCGTTATAAGTTTCTGCAGTCGTATACTGCGCCAACGTCAGCTGCGACGTCGAACACGTTTGCTTTTTTGCGGCGCATCTATTTTGCGCAGAATGATCTCAGCCAATGAACGGTGTGCATGACCCGCTCGTGGCGCCATCAGGCGATCTGTGGAAAGCGCGCGTAGTCTAGCGAAGTGTGTCGTGTGCTTGATGTTTTTGCATTGGACTGCAACGCCGATTTAGGTATAACTATTTAACACATATAAATTGCGGAAACCGGCTGCGACGTATAGCCACCCGTTTTATGGTTTAAGCAGTGCATTATAGCCATTGGCAGGGGAAGCTAGCTTGAGACCCTGTGAAGAAAAATTAAATTGCACGTATTAAACATGCGACAAGTTCAGTTTATTTGCAGAATGAATTACTCCAGTTGCGTGCCTAAATAAATATTATATTAATCCATTTTAACTCACCAGTTTGTCTAAATTATATTTTTTAGAAATGCCGTCTAATGTGGAAGTAAAAGCTGCTGTTCGTAACGTGGAGCTCTTAAGTCAAAGGGCGAAGGAGCTCAGCAAGTCCGAGGGGACTGTAATTCACCAGCACGATACGTTTTTCAAAGTACCGCAGGGCCGCCTTAAACTCCGAAAATTCACGGTAAGAACCTTAGATGACCTTAACATTGTTAGGCAGTTTGTGCTGCTGTTTTCAAATATGTTTTAGTGAATTTAGTAATTTCATTTTCTCATATTGTAAATGATTTCCTTAGAAATTTTTCATGTATTGTCCTTAAATTACAATTAATTAAACTTATTGTTATAATAGATTTAGTCTTTGTTCATCAGATCATAATAATATGCCTGTATATGCAATTGTAAAATATAAATCTTAAAATATCCGAGTGAAGAAAAGAAGCCTTTTACACTATTTTCTGTCAGCTGAATTATCATTAGCTGCCTTCTCAATTACAGGACGGCACTGGGCAGATGATATTTTACGAAAGACCTGATCTGGACGGTCCTAAGCTATCTAATTATTCAATTACTGTCACGCGTGACCCAGACGGCCTCACGGTAAGTGCACTAACCGCTGGGTCTTTGCACAGTTTTATATTTAAATAGCTTGTTTACATTAAATATAACTGGGTCTTTGTTGTGATCGAAGAAGCCCGGCTTAGTACACTATTACTCTGCTTTAACACATCCCTGTTGTTTACTTGAGTGGTCCCAGTCATGTTAAACTGGATACTAAACCGTGTATTTGCGGTCATCTTACATCATTCACTTCTTAGCAGTAATATGATTAAATAAATCAGTATCAAAGAATTTCATCAATAAAAACTGTCTTTTATTTTACTTTTTTGCTGTTTTAAGAATTTGTTTTATTTTACTATAATTTACTTCAAATACTGTAATCATTAAGACATCAGCTGAAACCTTCAGCGTTTAACAGGTTAGTCACTGAATAAGTGTTTATTTAAACACTGTCCTTTGGGTGTGAAGAAAGTTCTTTCAGATGCTCTGGGGGTCTTGGGCACTGTGGAGAAGGAACGTCACCTTTTCCTGGTTGGACAGACCAGAGTCCATGTGGACACTGTCAAAGATCTGGGGCACTTTATGGAGCTGGAGGTCAGTAGCAGTCTGCCTGAGGGCAGAGGACGGGTTCTGAACCACTGTTGACCTGAGTGGGTCCTTTTTCACACCCAGCAGCATATTCTAGTAATGTGTGATTCTCGTTATTTGTTACCCTTATTTACTGGTAAGAGTCAAGCGTCCTTCTTTTGTCAGGTTGTCATGAAGGAGGGACAGAATGCAGAGGAAGGGGAAACCATTGCTCAGCAGCTGATGGAACATCTGGGAGTGGAGAAGGATGACCTCATTGTCGGTGCCTACATGGACCTCCTTCAAAAGAAAGGAATGAAATGCTGATTCAAATACATCAGTCTGTTCTGCTGATGTGTGTCAGATGCTTTTTCTGATCTTTCGTGGCATTTTTCTTTGTTCGGTTAATTTCGAGGACCACAGGAAATTAGCCAATTGGGTCATAGTGACCTGTATTAGGAAACAAAAACTACAACTCACAAGGGGACTAAAACTACATCTCCCACTTCACTGTTCCGTGCAGTTTTTGTAAGTTATAGAGTGACATGCAATTGCATCGAAATCCCTGTGCTGTTGTGTTAAATTGGATAAAACAAATTCAGTTATTATCAGCTTATGTTTTTAGTTGGCAGTTAAACAGTTGAATATGTTCCTTAATTGCCCATTGTATTTGAGTGTGTGTATGTGCTAAACTGGACTGGTATCCTGTCCTGGGTGTATGTCTGCCTTTTGCCAGGGAGATGTATATCAAAGTGCACCTCACCTTTTTAACCATAGGTGGCACTCCAGTGTACTATTTTCGAAGCGCTTTCAGCACCCGAGTCATTGGACAGCTCCATCACAAGTTTTTGTATGTCATCTTGGCCCGTTGCAGTGGCCGTAAATTATATTTTGGTTAAATTTTTCCATGTAAACAATTTATTAACTGCACGCCATATGCTTCTTACTCTAATTACATCACCTGCAATAAAAATACATTTTTTCATCATTTAATTGCGATATTGGATGTGCTTTACGTTCTGTTTCAGAGTGGTAGCATGTAAATTTTATAAAACGATTATTTTTTGGTCCGCTGGTAGGGGAAATAAATTGTGACGTAACAGGAAAAAATGTGTATTTTTGTTAGAATCAAATATCGACCGTTAATTTTATAGGCACGAATTACCTTAAGGTCAGAACAGTACATGTACTCTTTCATTAATTCGCAAGCAAAAGTTTTAAAATGAGTTATGTTTTAAGTTATTTTAAAAGTTTATTCGTTTTGTGTTTCCCTGTCAATATGGGTCTGTATTCCCGATCTTTGGTCCAGAACAATTCAATGATGTAATAGATCTGCTTTTAATCTTGACTTGTAATACATTAAATAATAAAATAAAACGCGTCGTTGCGTAAATCATCAGAATTGATGTCAGAGTCTAAATATCAACCTTCTTTTAACAGCTATTAATAATAACTAATATGCAGGGGGGGACATTAACACATGACGCGTATGTGTGTCAGTATGCGTTTAATGAGATGTGCCAATACGGATGATGTGAGAGCGAGCAGCGCGCCTCTATAACGCTGCGTATCCGCAGTGCCGCTCCGTACTGCCTACGCGCAGCATCAGCGCCTCAGCCCGGACGCCGACTGCGTGTCCCTGCACGGCTGCGGGGTTGCGCTCATTCACCCACCAGCAGAGCTTCTCTCTGGCTGCGCAGGTGCGTGCGAAGGAAGGTCCCCCTTTACGGATATTGAGCAACCGAGACACCGCCCCACAGCAGCATCTGCACATCTTAAATCGTTTTTTTTTAAATTTGTCATCTTTATTTTCCGGCCCCAACACGCGATTGGGATTAAATGTATCTGATCTAGGGAGGTCGCGTCAGCGGCATCTGCAGTCTGGTCGTAGAAGGGGAAGATCTGTGATCGTCACCGACATTGATTTTGTATTTTTTTTCTGCACCCCTTTTTCCTGACTGTGGATGGGCTGTACTCTGTGATTATCCGTAGGCGCTTTCGAGTCATTTCTGGAAGAAGATGGCGGACAGAGCCGAGATGTTTTCGCTCTCCACCTTTCGTTCCCTGTCTCCTCCAAGTTGCAGGTAAGCCTGCGGCACGTCCCCGGCTCCTTCAGCGGCGGAGGGGCTGCGCTTGCAGGGGCAGCGCTCCAGGCATGGCCGTTTCTTATGAGGTTAATTGATATACCCGTATGTGTGGCTTATGAGCAAGATTTCAGAAACTGTCATAAACCATATCAGCTTTAAAACGCATTTTGCGGGATCGTTGTTTTTTCTGTCACTATGGATGCATTTCGACGCAGAGACGCGCACAGATCCCGAGGTTTATGCCCGTCGTGACATGTAAATGGCTTCGTTTTGGATAATACCGTGAGCATTGTACCAGAATGGGAGCTGGCCAGGGACGGTGCAATGGGATGCATTGATTTTTTGTTGTTCCAGATGTCCGAAGAGTTGCATTGACGAGGCCCCGCCCTTTCCGAGGCAAATAGGCTTAGCTGAGCCCTAACCGAGAATTAGGCATCTCTATCTATCTCGTATGATATTTAAACATGAAATTACCCAGCTGATATTTAATGTAGTGTAATAATTAACAATAATTACTACTAATATATAAAAATATTAAACGATATATAAATCCCAGTACAAAATGAAATTTGTTTGCTTTAGTAAATTAGTTTGCATTGAATTATAGTGCCGTCATATTTCCCTTGCTGACTGTCACGCATCGCTTAACGTGATATTTTGTTCCGTTGGAAACTTCATTGTGCACCCGGTCACCTCAAATCCCCATTACAACCACAAAATGGAGTTTCTCATCAGAGAGGAGGCTTCCGGAAGTCAAACACTGTCCTTTACTGACAGAAATATTTCTCTAGGAGTTTATTTCAGTCTGTAATTTGAATATCGGTGCAGGTAGGGATATAACAGTAACACTGCATACAGATGCTGTGAGCAGGGTAACTGAATGTGAACTACAGAGTGACAGCAGCTTGGGCAAATCCGGTACATAGCATCAACAATATCATATATTGACTTACTATTTAATAAAAGCGACCTTAATATTTTGGACAGGTCATAATGCAGCATTTATAGGTTTTGTCAGTCGTTTCTGAACTTTATTTTGTTTAGTAATGCTCTACGTTAAAGAGTGTAATCTAAACTCTGGATTCAGCAGTATTGTTCATATAAAAAAATCAGTGTTTCTCCTGTGCATCATGAAAAACAGCCGTTTCAGGGTGAAATGCCCAGGAGCAAGGTCGGCCCTTTGGGGGCCGAGGGTCGATTCCCTGCCCAGTCCATTTCACTCGCCTGTAGGGCCCCCTCCCCATAAGGAGGACGACGTTATTTAAGCGGCAGCGGTGGGAGCGACCTTGAGGCCGTGGGGGAGAGGAAGAGAGGAATGGAATTGACAGGCAGCCTTCAAAAGACAGTATTACAGGCCTGGAGGTGAAGGGGGGGGGGAGAGAAGAAAGAAATGAACAGCGGCTGGAGAAACGGCTAAATCAGGGTAAATTCGGGCAGAGGCAGAGAGATGACAGGAGTTTGAAAGGGGTGGAAATAAATACGATTAACATAGAAAATGAGGCGCATCCCCCCAGGGAATAGCCCTGCCTTGTGTATTATGTTGTCTGGAATGAGCCCCCGCAACTCTGCTCTAGATAAATGGATGGATGGATGGATGGATGGAAGGCCAGCCTTAGCTATAGCTGAATAGTGAAATGATAATCGGTTTTCTTGGTAAGCTGCCTCCCAATTAAAGCTTAACCGACGGCCCCTGAGAAGTTGATCTGGCCCTGGATGGATGGAACGCAAACTAAATGCTATTGTCTTCTCTTTAAGCTTCATACAGGATAAACTGACCTCTATCCAGTGGTATTAAGTTTTTGCCATGTTTGTACTGACCACTAGATGGTGCATAACCCATGATGCCCCTGATGGCTGGTTCTCATTGGTTCTCTTTCTGTTAGCTCGAATTCACACACCTCTTTGAGAAGTTAGAGGGCAATAGCGAGGCCATAAAGCTACGCAATCAGCGCTTCACCTGCCTTTACACGGCTCGCTGGATGGCCTCTTTCCTGCCCACCCTTTAGTATTCAGCGGCCGATTATTGTATCGATGTGCTGAGTGTGGACTTTCACCCAGCAAGGTCATTTACAGAGGAACGTCAGTGTTGCTTTGTGCCCACAGCGTAGCACAATTAGCCTAACTGCATGTCGCCGGGAGGAAAATCACGCAACACAGGAGATCATGTAAACAACAGACACACAGAGCGGAACCGGGATTCAAACCAGTAACCTAGGAGTATCCACTGAGTCACCCATGACATTTATTTGTTTGTTTTGTTACATATCAATAAATTAACGAATGAATGAATCAATGAAGCAATCAATCAATGAATCAACCAACCAATCATTCAAGCAATCATTCAGATAATTAATCAATTATCGCAAAATCAGTCAAACAAAAGATATTTTTTTCAAGATGATTTTTTGGAATGAAGCAAATTAGCTTTGAAATTCCAGGCGTGCCGTTTCTAATAACGTTCACCTGAACCAAACAAAGAAGCAGGAGTGAATCCCAGCTACAGAGGGACCCCCCCGGCCCCGCCCCCCAGTCTCCTGATGGATCACAGTTCATATCAAACGTGGCAGTCTGACTGGTGCCTCTCGCACTGCCAGCTGGGTCTCAGGATTGTCCTGCGTTCGGTGACGTGGCTCTGGGACGGCTCAGATGGAATGCTGGTGCGTGTTAACTGAAGCCTTTCCAAGTGATTAGAGTGATTCGAGTGATTAGGATTAGTGCATTCAGTCACCGGATGGGGAGATTCAACTAAATCCTGCATTTTCCACATGACAAAAGAAACACAGTTTCGGCAGAAAAGGGACGTCACCATTTTTTGCCGTTTTACTGCAAGGCGAAAATACAACAGCTTCACATGCATCATAATGCATGCATTACCTAGCGCATGCCGTCACTGGACTGCTGTGCACCATTGCTGCTAAATGGTGAATTTATTCATCTTAGTCGGGAATGGGGAGGAGGGTAAACCGGGAAACATTTTTAAAAGGAACACACCGACCGGGATTATGGATTATAGTCCTTTTACGTTGGATCTGGTGATTCCCATAAGCATGGTGAATAAAATCACAGCCTGCCGACTGACCGATTAATGGCAGTCGGGGGGAATACAAGTGGCACCAGTTAGCAGGGGCTGTTAGTCAGGTTGAATATGAGGGTGTGATTTGACTGGACTCCTCTAGTGGCTAATGATGTTTAAACTGTAGACCATGAGTAGGGTGGCGTGGTGCAGCATCAGGTGGTCCAGTGTTTTGGGGTTGAATTCCCAGCCCCAGTTGTGAACATGCACAATTTGCCAAGTTCCTGAGGATTTCCGCTGGCTTCCCTGGTGTCCTGCTGCAGTCCAAAACATGATGTCTCTAAGCTTCCCATTGTGAGTCTGTCTCCCTGATGATATGGCACCCTATCCATGCTGGGCCCTATCCTTTCTGAGATAATCTCCGGGATCTCCATGACCCTGTAATGGAAAGTGGACAGTTGAATGGATGGATGGATGGATGGGTAGGTGGATGGATAGATGGTTGAATGGATGGATGATGGATGGATGGATTCATGGATATGCAGCACAAACACATTTTCTGTGGTTCTAGAAAGGATAATGTGAGAATGAAGATTCCACCCTAGTGTGGGGTTACTGCTGACCACAGCTCAGCCAGTACAATAACATCCCAGTCCTGGGTACAAAATCAGGCTTAAAACACAGCTCAGCCCCAGATTATGGCTGATTACCTGACAGCATAAGTAATCATGGTCCTAGGATTTGTCCCTACCTTGCCTGTCATTTCCCCATTTGTCCAGCAGGTGTCATTGGCCATTCAATGCTTCTTGCTGTGTTTTGTAAGTTTAACACTCTCCCGTGTCCCTAGTATGTTCCCCTGCTCCCCAGGTCGCCACATGGCCTAAGGAGCCGGTTGAGATCTGTGCATCCCTGTGCATCCCTGTGCATCCCTGTGCATCCCCATGGTTATCAGTGTCCCTAGTGTTTTTATGTGTTTATATTTCTGAATTGCTAATGTGCTTGCCGCTGTTTTTAGTTCTCCCCACTTTTACCTGGTTTTGTTATGTTCTGCTTCACCTAGTTCCCAGTAGCTGATAGTGTTCATTTCCGACTGTTTGCTTCATTGTTAACTATCCGACCTGTTTCTCGTCTAACCCACATTATCAGTGTATGTATCTGCCTACCCTGGGCTTGTGCTTTTGTCAGTCATTGCCTTTGTTTCCTGCATGTTACCGGGACGTGCTGCCTCCCTCAGCCCTTCCCGATGTCAGTGTCCTCTTTGTTCCATCTTGTTTCACTTTCCTGCCTCGTGTTTTCACCTCTTGTGCTCCCTTGTGTTTCTAGTGTATGTTCAGTTCTGTTTATAATAAAATCCCTTCTGTTACGGAGCCGTGCTGCGGATCGTCACATGGGCAACGCATCACAAAGCCACTGAGCATCATGATAATCGCTGGGGGCAGGAGGAGAATGTAAATATTACTCACATTTACTGAGTTATCAGCCTGAAAAACTCACTCAAACCTAGCAGTTTTGATCGAATAAGGAGTCTAAGCATATGTTCCTTAAGTATATCTAAAAGGCGCGCGATGCATTTACAGAGTGATACATACCTTTAATGGCCTGTTAGATTTGCTTCATCCAGACTTTAACAGCTTCTGTATGTATTTCCTGCAATAGTGAGACATGGGATGAAGAGCAGAGGTGTTATTGAGAGACTGTGTACAATACATTACATCACAATGCTGAAATGTAACACAGCTGAAATTTCAGGCGGGGTCATTAACCCCCCCCTCAAAAAAAAAAAAAAAACTATGCCTTTGCAAAAAACACATGTATTTTTTTTTTCATTTCCTTCTGAAAATTGTAATGTCCAGCTATTCTATTACTCTTGAAGGGGTTAAGGCAGACAGACCCCCTCTCCTGCAACATGTGTGCTGCCGTCATCTCTCAGGCTGCGGGATTCTTTGGGCTGCCCAGTGGAATGTTAATCACCTGACCCCAGGGC